AACAAATACATGCAAATATTTGATAGTAAATAAATCCAAACTTAAAAATGTGAGCAGAAAAATCTGTTTAAAGCAGAGCTAATTTTGGCATATGTATGCCAACTGCTCAGCCTCTAACTGTATTGGGAGAACTGGTATGTCCTCAGGAATTACCCTTCTTTCACTAACTACTGTATAAGGAGCCTGTTACATTTTCGATAACTTATTTCATATCAGCATAACCATAAATATAAATGAATCAAGCCATTTTTCTACTCATATAGCAGTAAGATTACCTGTCAGTGCATTAAACAGCAAAGCTAATTAAGCAATTATCTAGGTCACAAAGCTTTAGAAACAAATCTTCCTACCAAAACACTTTATCTTATCTGGCATGTTTTGAATCTAATCTTTCACCCCTCTTTTCCGCAAAATTGTCAGCAGATCTGTTCCGATCAACAGAAAGGGGTGGCATGCTGGGAACAGTGAGGAAGAGCAAGTTATAATAAAAAACGCAGTAAAAACGCAGTGCGACAAGTTTGAAATCTCACCACCTGAAAATAAACTGCATTACTTAGGAAGTCGGGTTCATTATTCTTGGATTAAACCTTGCATGACTACAGCTTGCAGTTGGTACTGCAGGAAGTCGTGATTCATTTGCCTGATCAGGATAACACACACATTTGCATTGAAAAATGTCAGCAAAAAGTTACTGAGAGGTTACTGTCACTGAAAGGTCATAGTGCCCAAGGGCTCATGCCAACCAACTCTCGGTGTTTAATATCTTTTTGGTGGACATTAGAAAGTTGAGACACGCTGAAACGACAAGACAAAGTTATGATATCATCTACATATGGATTTTTTATATTGACTACCCCCTTAGACAACAGAGTTCATTGTGACTGAACAAAAACAGAAATAATTGTATCTACTCAAACATTTTCTCTTTGGCATCAATGAGCTTAAAATATTTCTTGATGTAAATATTTTATTTTAAGGGATAATTCCTTTTGAAAGCTAAAGTATTTCTTTGTGACAATAAATGGTGAACTCTTTTATGAAAGTGAAACCACAAAATCAAACTAACAGGAAGCCAATTGAACAAATGGTTAGAAACACAATTGTGTTATTCAAGCGGAACACCTTTCAGATTTGCACTTTACCCTTCATTTTGTTCTCTTCATATGCACAAACTGTATTTCCTTTTTTCTAAATTAACAAGATTTATCTACACTGAGAGGTGTAAGAAACTCAAAGCTGCTGTGACTTTCTGGAAATACAAAGTAAAATATTCCATTGTGCTTCACATGGCTGCTATTTGAAAGAGAAAAGGCATAAAGATGTCACCTTTGAAAAAATAACACAAAATCACGAAGGCAAAATGCAGCAGGGACTTTTGTGTATTAATATATTCTGTTCCACTGATAGCATGACAATGTTGGAGATGAGCAGTAAACGCTAGCAAACAGAAGCATGAAGATGAACCCAGATCCTATCAAAAAAACAAAAACAAGCACCCCTGCCAAGTCAAAATATTTATTCTGCTTCACTATGTTCATTTTGAAGTATCAAACTACCTTGAATTCTTCTGAGCCGAACACAGGAGAAATCAGAAAGCTATTGCATTGGCAGGTATTTGCAGTCCATGTTGAGTATACTCAATATGCAAATTTTTCTTGCATTATATAGCATTCTAAAAAGTCACACAGTAGGCTCACAAAGAATGATATTGACCAAAACAGGATCAGATCATGAGCAGCAGTGGAGGATGGATAATGTGCTCAACACTAACAAGTGGTGTTTGGTTATCAGTGCTGGATTTGATTCCAGCACCTCAGTGCCAGTCTGTGTGGAGTTTGAATGGTCTCCCTGTGTTTTAAGCCAGAGGTCTGCTTTCTCCCCACCTTCCAAAGTCATAACATCCTGAAGGCATATCAACGGCTGTTTTCCATGGTCATTGGAAGAAAGGATTAATGGATGAGGTGGGGATGGGCATCCTGCTGTTACTGCACTCTAACTTGGCTGAACACTGACTCACATGAATGAATGAAATTTACAAGCGCTCTCAAAAAGCATGCTCTCTCTTTACAGCTGCAGCAGGCCTCTGTTATTAGGATACAGTGCTGTGGTGCTCACAATGTGCAAAACCTTGAAAATAAAAAAAAACTTTTTATTTCCCAAAGATGTACAGAAATAAAGATATGTTAAATGGAATGTGTGCATGCATCAAAACATATCAAATGAACAAGGCTTCATTATCTGTTATTGTGCAAATAGCTCTCTTACTCTTCGTTGTTATCTTCACATATCTATACTTGGTGAATAGTCTATGAACAGAATTAGCTCTAGAAATCCATCATCTATACTGTACATTAATCCATTTCTCTGTTTTTCTACTTGTAGTGACTTGATCTCACTGTAGTGACCAACAGTGGAGTTTTCAACTGTACCACTTTATTTTTCATGACATCAATACTATTCTTTTAGCTAAACATATTTGCAGACAGAGTGTCTAAGTGCCTCTGTGAATCAGTAGTTCCAGGCAGACAAAATACAGTTTTCAATAAAATCATTATGCTTCCACACCCACAAATGACATTATACTGTACCTGTAGGTGCTTCTGTCTGAAGATAATTAAGCTTCCTTTAGAGAGAGATGAGTTGTCATTGCTACATGACCTCAGTAAACTTCAGCTGGGATTGCAGTTCCATTAAGATACTATTTCTTTTTTTTATCTGGCAAGTTATCAGTTGTGACCATTTTTGTTTGAAATTTGTATTATTTGTTAAGAATTAATTAGTTGAAGTGTGTAAAGTACACAAGTGGTCAGAAATGAAAGGAATGTCAGTTTCCACAACACTGCTGAAAAAATGAGTAACCAATTTGATGAAGCAGTGACTCTTACTATTTGATTAATTAATATGAAAAGAGATTTTAAAACATCACTTAGAGAGGTGTGCTAAAGTGGAGAGTTTCAATCTAAATGTGACATTTCCTTTTGCTATATGATGAATGCTGCCAAAAATGTTTGCCTTTCTTTGGCCCATAGATCTAATGTTGATAGACATTCTTGGTGAATATTAAGATCCATTTTCCAGTACAAAGTTTGTACATGACTAGTGTCTCTGCTTATCTGATGTTCTGTGCTCCTGATGGCACTTATCTGCGTTAATATTCTACCATGCAAATTCTGATGCTGTCCGCCCCTTAACTGTTAACTGAACTTTTCCCATTACAGGCAGAGAGGAGGAAACAGAGATTGTTTCTCTTTCAGGGGGCACAGTGGCGAGATACAGTATGTTTGAAAACATGTTGGTTGTTTTACTGTGCCTCCTCATCAGCTTTGTCTGGGAATGTGTTTAGAATTAGTTGAGTTGGTGAGTGGTATGTGCAGAAATAATGTTAAGTGTTTCACCCACAGTGTGCTCTCAAGTACAGGGTAGCATGGCATTGGTAATGTAGAACTGAAAGGACTAGTACTTCTCTTTGTGAGCTTTTTGCTTGCATATTCTTTTGCTGGTAGAAACTGGTAGAATTAGCTCCAGTCAATGCCAACTGACTGTTCTGACTCACCGACTTGGATTTGAAATGACTTAAAGAGGCAACCACAACAAGATAAATCTCTTGAGAAAACTGGACTACAGAGTAATCAAAGCAAAAGCAATATAAAAGATGCATATAAGAGACAGATGCAAGCTGAGAAGGACATTGTTTTAAGAAGGACAGAGATTTGATTTCACAATGCATTTCTAACCTCATTACTTACATTCTAAGGTCTGTGCTGTCTTCCCACTGTCAGTTCATCCTGACAAATAGGATCACATGAGTAAGGCAACATATATCCTGGCAACACAACAAAGAATAAAAAAAATCAATGATAAAGAAAAACACGAAACCACGGACTAGAGCACTGCAGGTTCACAAATGTATTAATCTCACCTGGTATTCCGATAGTGTACGGAGGACTCCCTACTCCCTACACACTCTACACCCTGGAAGACCAGTCCATCACAAGGTACATACCTGTAGAGATACAAGCATGCCTACACTCACACCAGGGCCAAGACTGCAGGAGCCAATTAACCTCAGTTCACGAGGAATGACAACAGCCAAGAAGAAAGCGTCATGGAGTGAAACTGTGGCTTAACCCGCTTGGCTGAGGGCTGGCCTCCCGGCCAGAGGACAAGGGGACCAGGACCCCCCTGGAGGGTGACTGAGGGGCAGCTGCAGAGGGGAGGATGGGGTGGAGGTGGGATGCAAGAGAGAGAGAGAGATGGGGATCTCGTAGGTATTTATAGCATTTTGGGAGAGGAATGGATTGTCAGGAGTGATTGCTAATTACTGACAGCTGAGTGATTGAGCTTGGTTGTTGTCATCCCTCCCGAACTTTTCTTATAAACTCCATTTTGTCTTCTGGCTTTGGACTGTGGTAGGAACCCAGAGCACCCATAAGAAACCCATGTAAACACGAGAAGAACATACAAACTCCACATAGAGAGTGCCCCAGGAATTGAACCGAGTTCCCCACCACTGCAAGACAGCAATGCTAACCACAGCGCCATCATGCTGCCTGGGGCTGGTTTCATGAATGTTTTTTTCCACTAACTCCTGTTAAAGAAGGGACTGGTGTTTAAAATGCTGATTTTAATGGAACAAGAAAGAGGCAGAAACAACAAGAACAGGCAAATCAATTAGATATTGGATGTTTATAAATTTTAATGTCCCTAAACACAGAAAATTTCAAATTGTTTGAAAATTCTTCTAGAAAAATAAATTAAAGCACCTCTCTTATACAGTAGTATCATCCCCAGTTCCTTTACAGGAAAATAATATAAAGTGTTAAATTTTAATCACTGAGATGAAGAGTATTAAGGCTATTATTATAAATAATATAATTACCCATTTTTAATAAATTAGATATTTTAAATAAAACACTCACAAAGATAGTTATACAACCTTTGAATGTACAGATACAACATTCATGTTTCAGATATTTACACATTACTGTAGATATTAGATATTTTACATATTAGAATGTTGAATTCATTAAGAAGTTTTTCTCTATAGTTTTATATTACACAGATAACATTTTATCTGAGAAATAAATGAAGGATTTTAAATTTTCATTCAGTGTGTTCACATTACCGATCCTGAAGACCATGAGCCAACACACATACTGTAGTATATATGTAAAAATATTTGACAAAACAACAGAATCAGATACAGTAGGAGCAATTAACGTCATTCTCTGAAACAATCTGTACCACGTAAATGTCAGTGTGCATGTTGTGAAAGGAAAAAAAAAATATCTTACGTTAAAATAACTGAAATTGTGAAATAAAAGGACTCACTGGAAAACTGTAAATAAAAAGACTTTTGATGTTAAAATGGTAAAAGCCCACTTTTACAGTTTATCCTGTAACTATAAAATCTCAACAGTGCATTCTAAATTGCTTGAAAGCTTCAGAATAGAAATTAGTATGTTTGTCTCTTCAAGAGAAGAACATATTTAATTTTAAATTTAATTTTCTTAAGGTTCATTGAAGGTATAGGACAAATGAATGATGGAAAGCTCTGGGCTTAAGAGTCAACTCTTAGTGGAACTGACACCTAACGTTTGGAATTTACAGTACCTCCGAATTACTTTCATGTTGATATCTAGAAAATGGCTTTGTTCAATGATTTGGGTAAAAAATGCTTGAGTTATCAAAATATCAAGGGGATTTTAACAGCTTTATCTTATAAGCGTCCTTAAATGAAATACACAGTATTTACACAGTAAAAACAAGTTAAATATCAATCAACAAGGAGATTCAATTTTGTTTTCCCCTGAGGGCTTGACATTTGAAAAAGGTCACCATTCTAGATTAGGAGGTCCTAAAGTTATTTATAAATGTTTTATAAATCAAATATACTTTATTGATATTAATGGAGTCACAAAAAGCTGTAATAATCAACCTCAACTGTAGAATTAATTGCCTGTCAGTAACAAAACTCAAACCATTTCTCAACTCTAGCTTTAGGGTTATTTGCAGAATGTAGCTTTTTTCAGTTACTGTACAAGTATACTACTTCACAAACGTAGCAACAGTTACAGTATGTACCAAACAATGTACTGTATCTGCTGTTATTAATTCGCCATCACATTTGGTCTTGAGTAAAAGATATGTCTAAATGGCCTTGATAAACATTTTCAAATTATTTTGCAAGTTCTCAGAGGAATTTGAAAAAGCATCACAAATTACTCAGCTGGATGACCGTCTGATAATTAGGTATCACAGGTGTAAATACACTATAAATCACATCAAAAAAGACTGTTAAATACTGTGCTTCACACTGTCATAAGTCTCCATAAGCAGAAAAGGATTCAGTTATCAATAATTCCTTTATAATATTAACATTTCATATAAATACAATTTCTTATCATAAGAAATTACAGTTTCTTTTTTGTATCGGTTAAAAAGCAAAAGCTTAAATATTCATAATTTAATTCAAACTGATTAAATTTTAGTAGGCAGTAGGAATGTTGCTTACAAATATTAGCTTTCTGTAGTGTGAGGCAATGTTATCCCATCTTTCTATCGAAGGGGAAGAGATGAATTCCTGCCATAATTGAAAAGCAGAAATTGAACGATAAGTGCTACATGTACAGTATTGTCAACAGAGTCTTCCACAACAGAATTGAATAGATGTAGTGCTCATCTTCATTGGTCCTGTTATATTGGGTTTGCTTCCTTTATTTTTTTTTAGTCTCTGGGAAGAATCTTCGCCAGTTTGCATTCTGTAGAAACAACAAAATGAAAGGGGATGGTTAGTGACTTTCTGTTAGGCATCTCAGCTGTTGGAAAAACAATTGTGAGCAAATTAAATCCACATTGAACTGGAGTTAAGTAACTGACTGAGGTGGAGGTCTATCCAACGAAGTGTTTTAAATAAGAGCAGCAGGTAGAACATATTACAGGACTGAATATATGTTTCACGAGTAATAACAACACTCAAGAATAAGACGCGATGAAGGATGTTTCCTGAGCATATACAGTAGGTATAGTGAGATTCTGGTCTGACTGAGGGCCAGACCGTTCGAGGACCCCATGCAGAGTGAAGTGAAGCTGCAGAGGTGGAGGAGGAAACCATGAGGCAAACTGTAAAAGACAGGGACTTGTGTGTGATGCACTGTGCTGTACGGCATATAGCATCAAGAAACAACATGGGAAAAGATTTTGTACAGCTGGTACAAAAGTGGGTTGGTTGTCATCATCCCAGTTCGTTCTATATGTTTTATATGTTTATATGCATCCAGAAACTAGAAGGGCTGAATGACAACTGGTTTATGGAGACGTCTTTTTCAAAGAATGTCAGGGAGCTTGCTTGGCTTATTCAGTCTCATACAGTATTACTTTAACTTTGAGTCTGCATGGCACACCTAACACCTTGCAGCACAAGATAAGTTCATTTTGACCTGTTATTGGAGGAATGACGAAATAAAACGTGTAATAAGCAACATATCTGATGCTGAAGTGTTACAGTTTATTTAATTATGACAATTTAATTATGACAATCCATATATTATAAATTGCAGCAATTATAAAACTCAAATTTGCACAAGAGGGTAAGTTTCATACAGGATAAATTGAATGAAAAATCCCTGGTAGATTTTGATGCAGTCAGAGTATATTATCAGTTTAATGAGCTGTAAACGACTGGATTCATTCTGAATTGTTCACACGATCAGACAGAAGCGAGACTTACCTTCAGACCACAGGTGGCCTCTGACTGTCTGGGAGCCCTGTCTGGTATTGTCTCGTAAGTGTTGTTCACAGAGGCCAGGGTTTCAGAGGTGCCCTTGTGAGGCCTGTCAGGGATCTGCTCGTAGGTGTTGTCAGGGAACAAACTGTTCGGCGTCGGCTCAGTGGGAATCTGCGCGTAAGTATTATCCGTGCTCTGGGGCGGGCCTGCCATGGGATGGGAGGTCACTGTGGGGTTATGGCCACCACATGTCTCCCTGTGCAGCAGCGATGTCATGTCCTGGGGAGCCTGCCAGCCCGTCACTGCGTGATAGAGCGGGTTTTTCAACAGCTTGTCCAGGCTGCTGCTACTGGCAAGAACAGGGCCGGGAGACGATGCGCTGTGGGGCCCCGCGTCCTTAAAGGAGCACTTCCCAAGGGCGGAATACAAGGCTGATTTCCTGGGCAGTTTAGGGGAGCGCTGGAGCTGGAGGGCCGGGGGGGTATGTGCTCTGTAAGGGTGGCAGTCCTGACCTCTGTCGGAGCCGTCGTCGAGCAAGGGCAGGGATTTGCTCCTGCACTCCACCAGCGTCAGCTCGGAATACACAGTGGTGTCGCTGCACCTAGGCTCTGGGGCTTGGCTTGGAAATAGCTGCGCTTCCTCTGCTTGCGAGTAGAGGCAGTTTGAGGCCGGGCTGGATCCCCTTCTCCCATTCCTGTTAGTCGCCGCACCTTCAGTCTGGTTGCGGTTGGACCTATTTGGGCTGCCTTTGTTGGATGACGGGAGCTGAGCCTTCTCCCTTGTTTTTTCTTGGTCCAGCTGGGCGTATAAGACTTGGTTTCTCTGTGAGGACTTGTCTTCCAGAGAGCCACTCAGTGCACTCCTCAGGGGTGGGCTTCTTTTCTGCTGTGTAGGAGCTGGTGCTTGGTTACTTTTCTGAAAGGCAAGTAGAATGGATTTTCACAGTGTTTTTTTATCTCCTGTACTTAGAAGCTAACAAAATATCCTTCCTGTCATAGCATTCTTAACATGCTATAGTTCAACACAGCCTCAACTGACTGAGTATATACAGTACATAACTGTGCACAACCCCAGTTGCTGGATATGCAAATAATGTTTTCAAGTTACCTTGATCGGAGGAGGAACTTTTTCAAATGAGGAATCTGAAGGTAATTTGTGTAGTTGCTTATTGTACTTTGGCGGTAATTCAGGGGGCTGCTCAGCGTTTGTGTTTTTCCGTTGATTCCATATGCTTTTCACGGCCTGGACGCTGACTGCCGGCTTCGCCTTTTGGCAGAACTGGATTTCGTCATACAGTTCAGCGTTGTTACTCTGCAAAGACACAGATACCTGTCATCCAATGGCCGACTGACCCTGGTTTAAATGAATATGGAATCCTGGGATAAGAAGAAATAATGCAGAACTGTTATCCTTGATAGTCAAATCAAGAAAGTATAAAGAATTAAGGCAGTGTGGCCTCACCTCTGAACAGGGGACAGTGAGGAACTCTCCAAAGGGCTCGATGGGAGACATCTTGTAGTACTCTATCAAGTCAGTTAGGTTACAGTGGGTCTCAGTGTCTCCCGAAACAATAAATTGTCCCGCCTTATTCTGGTTGATAACGAAATGTCGACAGCGATCTTTCCCTCTGAAATGAAACAGGATGGATTTCTAATCAGCCAGGAATAAATATTGCATATCAGAAACAAAATCTATTTTTCTTCTGATCCTTGCTTGATGCATAGGGATTCATGCCTGGCCTCAATAAGGTACAAGAGAATGTTTCAGTGTCTCCATAACGGAAACTTACAGTAAATCACGTGCTTCACAAATGATGAAGTAATAAGCATAAATCAGGTTATCAGAGACGGAGAGGACCGCTAAACTGTGGTTCAATTGAATTTCTTAGATCATAATCGGCCAATACATTTGCCCTCCTCCCCCTCCATTGTGCATATTTGTGCATTCCTGATTGCAGATAAACAAAAAAAACATTCTTGCCGACAAAGATATGAATGTTTAACTCACTTGTAGGAAAGAATGTATCCTATGGCTCTGTCGCTGAGCCTGATGAGAAAACATCCCAGCTGCTTATCTCTGAGCTGATCTTCAGCATCCCTGTAAAAGATGAAGAGGTGGTCACATGTTTTGAATGTCACATTCAAATGCTATGAAAATGTCAGCAGTAATGGAATGGGTCTGCTGTCCCCTTGCACTGAGAGCATAGATCACACATAGTTTACAGCTGTAGTCTGCTCTGTATTTCACAGAGGGAAAACCTGTTTTTGAACGTTTTCACTCAACTGTTCATTTGTCTTTATAAAACTCCACCAGTTTCAGCAAATATAATCAAAATGTGTTATTAAACTCACTTATTACTTTGCTTTCAGTGGATATGAACTGTTCCAGAAATTAATCTTTTTTTTCTTTATAAATCTGCTGTGCTTCTTATCGTATTTTACATATATACCATATTTTACAGTTCAGCTAATCTAAAACAGTAGTCAAAACAGTAATCCATTTAGGAAATGCAAGGAAAGATAGCTTTTTTTGGAATCTAAAACTCTATATCTGAATTTAGACCACCCTACAGTTATCTGTATTTTGACTTGCATTATGGCTAGCTGAAATGCTATTACAATTATATTACAATTATATTGGCTGCAAAGCCCTTTTCTAATACATACATGATCCTAATTGTTAAAAGACAACAAGCTACTGTAACAAAGCAAATTTGTTCAATTCCCAGATGGTCCGTTGCCTTCTTTTTTTTTTTGGTTCCGACCTAAATAGCCAATTAAACTATTAACCCAATTTTTTCGCTTTGCCGGACATACTGCACATCAAATCCTTCCTAATGTCTTTTGGAATTGATTACTCAAGCCATTCACTTCCTGGTACTGTGAAGACAACTGTCTCCCCAGGAAATTACCTCTGATTTACAGCAGGAATGAAAAAGAGATGGATAACAAAGCAACCAAATAACTTTTTAATAAGAAAAAAACATTTGCTTGTGTTATTAAGAAATTATGCACTGTAAGACCTATGACTGTCTGTTGAAGAGATTTCAGATTCCAGCTGATTTCAGGTGAGGTGAGTGCTCTGAAAGCAACATCCTCCGCCTGCAAGCTCCCAGGCCACCTGCGAAAATGGAATTGTTGCTTTCTGGCTGGTGTCTCTGTGGTTTGCTTACTTCCTAGCGATGAAGCCTTGAAACCAGTCCGGGAAGTTGCCATTGCGAAGGATGAGCGGGGCCTGCGTCTCCGTAAACCATTTGAGTGCCAGCTCCTTCAGCATCCCCTCTGCGTGGTCTGCCTGGGGCTCTGTCCCAGGCACCGGAGCTTTCCGCTGGTCCATCTTTTCTGGAGCCTGATCCTGAAGAATGCAGAGACAAAAGAGTGGAACAGGTTTAAATTTCACGGCTCAGCGGGGAGGTGAATTTGCCTATTTTGTGGTGCAGTACGTCACCGTCCCGCACAGGGCCCTGAACGACAGCATTGTTCTCTTACCTCACCTCCCCTTGGCTACCCAGCCCGACATTCAGATTTTACTACGCTTGTTCCTACTTCCATTTTGGGATATATTTATTATGCTCCATGCAAATAAAAAACTATTTAAAGCTCCCTTTATTACGCAATGAATCGGGAAGCAGAAAATAAATGATGCACAAGAGAAAACAATATGGGTAAAATGTAAGAGAATACATATTCTGAGATAAATAATATTTGAACAAGATTCTAAAAATGACTCAAGGGTTGCTACACACGCATCCTTGTGTTGGGTAATATCAGTTCTAGAGTCCTGCAGGTTTTATAGGTACTCTCCAACTAAAAAAGACCAAGACTTCACACAAATATGCAAGAGCAATTGTGTCCAAGTGTCTTCTGGTTTTATTCCACCCAAACTTTCGAGGACTTTGGCTGCCTCTGTATAAAACCAAATCAGCGCCAAATTCTAATTTGTCTTGGACTCGGTCGTCCTAGCAACTTACTTTCTCACTGTAATTTGGCTGTGTAGGAACGAATAATAATAATGATAATGATAATAACTATAGTTATTATTATTATTTGTGGTTACGAATTCCACACTTCTCAGAAACAATCCTTGAACATAGCGAAAAAGCCAAACCAATCCAAATGTTTATCCTTAGAAGCTGGCCTTAAACAGGGCAGCAGCATAGTCTCTGACCTTCAAGCAAAACATCAGCCAGGTGCAAAAGAAGGGTGCTCTCGGCAGTTTGTGATCCATGGGCTTCTTCATGGAGGTGTTGTAGGCTCGAGAACCGGGACCTATATACTGAAAGAAAGGCCAGCCGTACCATGGACAACCTGTGCAGAAAATAAGAAAACCAGAATGTCAGATGAGCATATAAACAATGTCTTCCAGTGGAACAGTCTTTACAATCTTTTGTAAATCAGGTAGGCAGTTGTGAGACCCTGGGAGATGGCCTTATTATCTGATGAATTCCCCCATTGCTTCAATTGATATCTTTTGTCTCCGCGGTACGCTGTCCTCTCACAAAGGGATGCTCACACATACTGTTATTAATATTTTATAACAGTCCTAAAAAACAGCCATGAAAAATAACGGTGACCACCTGAGGATTGGCAACCACAACAGAACCCATTTTACTTTTTTAGGTACAATACGGATATGGGAAAACAGATTATAGCAGTTTCTGGTTAAGGCAGCAACCGGTCCTTTTGACTGAATGGCGAGGCTTTGCAGAAATATGGTGAACTTTGCCAAAATATCACCAAGAATCACCGTGTGAAGCAGATACTTGAATAATACCGTGCAAATCGCACACGCACTTTTATGAATAAAGACGTTCTTTGCCGGTTGTTTTTAAAATAGTGCCAATCGCAAATCGCAATTTTACTAATTTTATACTTCTGGTAAAAACCCAAACAAAACCTGAATTTGTTCATATAATAAAAAAAAATAGAAAGTTTATTTAGCTACACCATTTATCGTCATCTCTACACTACTTTGTTACTAAAATCACAGTAGTACCAGTTTATTGTTACGAGTACGTATTTCTCAATTTCAAAAAACAAATGTTACGGTTTATTTTAGGCTATGACTGTGTGCGCTGGAATATTTAATAATGCACCGAAGATATAAACGATGACGACCGAAAACACCAGTACATACCTGAAGTGATGGAGCAGTGAGCATGGTTTGATTTAACTCTCATTTCAAAAAGGCAAAAATAACTCTATGACAGCATGCGCGTAGTGCAGTTGGTGAGACACTCTGAAGGAGTATAGGAGTATAACTCTTTGTATATACAAGGGTGACATTTATTTTCTTTCCATGAGCACGGAAAGTTCATGAAGTCGTTGTGCCATGGCTGAAGACGTGATAGGTATTTGCATGAGAAAAAAAAGAGAAAACGAAGGAAGGAGGGCTTTCACCCAGAAAGAGTTTCCTCAAGATGAGTGGAAAGTAAATGCTAAAACCGTCTGTGGGTTTTTTTTTCAGTGCCGGTGGCGTTAATGCAGCGAGGCACATGATGATCTAACAGGAAAACACGGTTCGTACACACAGACGGCATCCCTGTGACTACTTTTGTTATTTTTGTTTTAACACTGTTGAGTGTTTCACATTTTGCTACTAAATCGATTGGCACCTTTAGTATTTCTAGGCGCGAAACTCTTCAGCCCAATTTGTAGGCCACGTCGTTTGCTTTCTAAAGTATTGAAAGCACTAGTAGAAACATAAAAAAAAGTCTCAAGTGTGTGGACTGAGACAGTACCACACTGAAAAACTAAACGTTTAACATGCGAATAAAAATCAAAAGTGAATGACCACTGCATAAGGAGATTAGCCGCTTCAGGTCACTGAGGGACAGGTGTGTGTCCGCAGGGTTTCAAGGTGGATAGAAAGCAGAGCTGAAGAGCTGGACAAAGCTATCAAATTGGTCCACTTAAAACAGTAACCAGCCGGATAACATTGCTCTGTGCTGAGGTAAAATGAAAACCCGCAGACACATAAGCCCAGCGAGATCAGGACTGGTCACCCCTGTTCAAGGATCTTGCAAAGTTATCTCTATCTCTCAAGGTTAACTTAAACTTAACTTTAACACTTAAAACTCAACACAACACTGAAACTTTAAGTGTCCACTTCCCTGGAGTATCACACTGCAGACTCATCACTGAAGTATAGTATACTGTATTTCCCCATCCAGTCAGACAAATAGAGGCCATCAGGTGTAAAATAAAAATGTATATTAATGAACTACCAGTTCAGCGGGACTTTTCTCAGTTGAAAAATAATGATTAAACTCGAAAACCACATCTTACACTTGGGACTCCTGTGTCACGAATATTTGGTGGATGAAGGGATTCACAGGTATTAATCTATTTTTACTTTATTTTTTTAGACAGACGGAGTCATATTTAAATTTACGGCGTTGTTTCCCATGTGACGCTGGAAAATGTTAGTATGCAGAAAGAAGTTACGACACATAGGAGGCGAGATATCCCAGAGACATTAACGATAAAACATTTACTGTAACTCGGAACAGTAGCTTCTTCTTTGCTTTTTACAACAGGTTAGAACCATAAAACACAAATTTTAAAATCGTCCGAAAACAGACAGTTGACGAATTTTACTTAGAAAATGAAAAGATATGTGCCAATCTGAACCTCAGTTTAAATATTAAAATGAGGTTTAATAATTTAAGTGTCTAAAGCCCTCATACTATTCGAAAGAGTTGAACTAATCTTGTAATCTAATTTGCATTTACTAAGTGACCATTACATATAACTGTCCCATACTGTACTTACGTCTTTAAACCTCTGTAATAGTCTAATAGTTCTCTTATAGTTAATCTTTTTCTCAATCTCCTGTTTTCTTAGGTCTAGTTTGTCTATTTATGTTATTCTTTATGTCTGGTTTTAAAATAAAAAAATGACTTTAACATTTCACATTGTACTTTCTTGTGATACCTGGAATGTTTCAAAATAAATATTTTGGATGGATGGAATCATAGATTGTTGAAACTGTGATGTATGAAACTGAGTTTTCTTATAGATTGTATTTTACACATACTGTACAGGTATTAGTTTATCACACACACTTTCCTCTATTTGACATACCTAGATACTTTCTAAGTTTCTATTCTTAAAGTAATTTAGCTGACAATTCAGACAATTCTTTAACAAAGTCTTCCTCTTGAAATACAAACTGAGCACATATTTTAAAAAAGTAGATGATGGATTTTTTTAAATACCTTTCAGAATACTTTAGTATTCCATATTTAAACTCGTTTTCCCAATATCCTTTACGCTGTGTAGGACTGTTTATTTACAGTACATGTACTGTAAGTAAATAGCAGTGCAACTTCAACATATCTGTTGCTATTGAAAGCTCTTCATCTTGGAACAGTTAAAATGACTAAAAGTTGTAGGGGGTGGAGTGGTGTGGAACTGAGGTGACTCAGCTGTTTGATCTACGGTACCTTTCTAAAGAGGTGATTAATCCACTTTCAGAGCCCACTCAGGTGGACTGTGAGAGTACACAACGTTTGTATAATCAGGTCAGGAGCCTACCTTGTGAGGAGTCTGACAAATAGTACAGAATTTCCAGACTTTTTTAAAAGAAAAATATATTCGTTTGTGGTCCCGATGGCAGCACAAGAAAAATGTTGCTCTCAATTGTTAGTGCTTCAACATCAAGTTTTGAGACAGCTATATAGTTATTTTCTCTTAGTATTACTTCCATCCCAGATTCCCCTTTAAAAATCATACTATTCTGGTACTGAAGGCATTTTTGTCTGTAACACTGAGAACAGAAGAACGTCATATTTTACCATTGTCATCTCAACTTAAAGCATATCTCTCTGAATCCGTTTTCAAACCAAAACTATATATTGCCAATTTTGTAAAGTTCAGTAAACAATTTTAATTAACATCCACAGACACATTTTTAAAAAATCTGCCTTCTCCTAAAAACTAGAAAGATTTGTCCAACATCTGTACATAAACGTCACACTATTTTTATTGTGTGTTGACAATATTTTCTCAATATTTTATCTCGAGAGGGCAGGGTTAAGTGATTTGGTTAAACTTGACAGAATTTTCTGTTTAAATGTGAGAGACTACTAGGAAAAGATTGTTTTTTTATCTCAGACTCAGACTGGCACGTTGACATTTTGTAAAGGTCGCGTACTGTACAGTAACTGCAGAGCTCAAGTGTTAAGACTTACTATGTAAGTCCCACCTAAATTACTTCCAAAAATGGGAAGAAGGCTAAATATGTGTTCTAATTGGCATTGGAACTGGAACTGGAATTATAAAATCATACTAAGTGTTCAGCTTAGGGGAACTCCGTTTTTTTTTTCATGAACAATCCGGTTAACAGGATTTAACTTTTTTGGATTTGTGGATGGACAAAAAAGATGGGCAAGGTCACTTCTGACAGCGTCCAGAAGTAGGCTGGCTGTACTTCTGTGCCTTTTTGACGAGAAGGTTGTCTCTGGTTTCAATAAAAAGTGTTTCTACAGTATTTTCTGAGTTATCGAGCTGCTGTAATCAAGAATTGTGACGATAACACCTTCTCCATGGTTCCCTGTCATATCTCTTGTGAGAACTGTTGTTTTGTTCAGACCTGCCTATGTGTGTGCTCAGTTGTTTTGCCTGTAATAATTTGGGTGTTGAGAAGTTACTTCCACTAAGGGTGGCGTACAGACCCAACTGAACCAGCTGTTCCATGAAGCCTTACTGTACACCTAAGACTGACTCACTGCTCAAAGACTTGAATTAACCCCACAGAGGCATTTTGGAGGCAGTGGCAAAAATCCTGAGGTGTGGAATTTCCTGATGTGTAGCCTGATTTAAAAATCTTTCTAACTACTTCTGAATAAATTGTGTTGAGGATTGAAATAGAAACAAAATCAGTGTTTCTACTGAATTGATGTGTGTAACTTTTAAAAAATGCTTCAGACATACAGTAGTTACTGTATTTTTCTTAATGTTTTAAAATATTGTTTTATACAAACATCCTTTACCTGGATTTTAAATACTGTACCTCTTTCAAAAGGCACAGTTCAAAAGTTCTGTAAACTGACATCTTTGAAAATTGTAACCCAGTTAGATTTAAAAATATTAGATACTAAATTGTACTGATAAAATATTAAAAATCTTAATCTTGAACAAGACAGTCATTTTAATAAACACAGTTAAGCAATCTTAACAAAGGAGAAATGTGGCTTGACACTTGAGACCAAAATTGATTTACTGAAGTTGTGAAATTGTAGTATACAGTGACTGGAAAAATCTTTTTGTTGAACAAACTGACGCAGAATATTTACGCAACTTAAAGCATTTTCAAAAAGATATGATTAAATGTGGGTTTCTTCAGATTTATAGGAATTAAAAATGTTCAAGAACATAACTATCACTTTTATCCATTATTTAATCTCATTTATGTAGTGAAGTACTGGATTGTGTAAACATGTTAAAGAATTTTCTGTGTGAAGCTTTTTTATATGTGTTCACTCATTTAAAGGGCTTTAAGGTGGTGAATGATTTGCTACTGCTATTTCACAACACAAAGTTGACCTTTTTAGAAACATCAAGGTGAATTGACATTAATGAATAATATATATACAGTATATAATAACAAAAAATACATTTACAGTGTCAAAAAAGAAACACAGGAACAAAATATATTTTATCTCATACACAGGTCAAATAACTATAACCTTTCTTCCAAGAACCAGCAATCACACAAAAATGACTCTTTTGGAACTGTATTACTGTATCTAGGTTTCACTATATGATAGTCAGTCTAGATCCTCTTTCCTTTTATCATTGTGATAATCTCCAGACGTGATGCATATATGACTAAATCTGTGGAATATTACAGCTCATTTCTGTTGCCAGTCTTAAAACTCTGATTTTTTATTTTTCACCACAAACTCCAGGGAGAAAAGACAAGAGAGGTGACAATCCAGAGAGGCCATTCAGCTTTTGGTTGGTGTTAGATTAATGATACAAAAAATCTTAATTTATCTCAGGGTGGCGGTTTCAGTACCATGACAGGGGATTATGTCCATTCCAGACCTTCACCATCCAGGTGTAAAAAAGTGTTTTTTTCTGTTTTCTGTCCTGAATGGAACTGATTTTATTTCCCACTTGTATCACTGGCCACTTGTGTTGCAGATCATGAAGAAGTCCCCTTAGTGGGCATATTGTTATGGTCTGTGCCTTTCAGGATTTTGTCTCAAGCCTCCATGCCATTTGTTTCATTCCCAGCCTGAAATCAGTTCCCTTAGTCTGTCCTATAATCTATAGGATTATACTGTATATTCTATAATCTGTAGGATTATATTGAGCCTACAGTATGTGCTGCTTCTGTTCATTCTTTCATTCTGAGATCATGCAACTTGGAAACAAAGGCTTAATTAATTGCAGCCATGTATTGGCCATAGACATTATTTGATACCTAACAAATGTCTATGATGTCGCATAGGAAATATCCTTCATTATGTTGTTTTTGTTGTTTTATTTCTCCAGAAAATTGTTTTCCTTCATTCAGAAACCAGTGTGGTTCATCGGTAGTCTGCCTGACATCAAGATGATGATGCACTTGGTCTGGTTTACAGAAAACACAGAAGCAGGAAGCCACTGCATTTCCTGGTTGCTTTCTTTTTTTCTGTCCCAAATAAACAACAGGCTGCTGTAGTGATGGCAACTGAAAGCCCTTGTTTGTTTCTGAAAAGTTAGAAATTCATCAGAGCTGAATTTGAAAGGAATCACTCTTGTTTTCCTTGCAGATCTGTTCAAACTGCAGAAAATCTTCCCCTTCTTACTGGTGTCTTTCAGAATATCAGGTCTTATGACTGTAGTTTGACTGTCACAATCTATCCCCTAAATCATAAAAAGGGGTTGGATATTTGAAGGTGTAGTCCAAATTTATTTTAATGGTTTTGATTATAACTTGCTGTAATTAAATATTAATAGTCACATTTTAAGGACATTATATGCTTAAAAATTGCATTTTTTATCAGATCAGATAAAATCAGAATTTCCATGTAACAAATTTATGATCCATAACAGAGTAACTGGCTTGCCAGAAATGAGGCTATTTTCAATTAACCCAAATCAATTGAATTGAATTCTGCTTTAAGATTTGAGGGCCTGGGCAATATTAGATCTTCCTAAAGGTCCAGATTCTGCAAGCAAGGAAAGACTGAATGATTCTTGCTATTGTAATCACAAAAGCTAGGGTATCATCCATCATTTTGTTTTCTGTGACACTTACAGAGCCTGAGCTCTCCAGCATTCACTTCGCAACCTTAAATATTACCTCCCTACAGTGTAGAACCTACTGACGTGTGGCAACTGTTTTTCATTTTACTTCTTTCACTTTTAAGTCCCAGCAGCCTGGGAAGCTAGGCCTGCTGGAGGAAATCTCTTATAAAGGCTTGCCGCTGAAGACATGCCCCTGAAAAGACTGCAGAAAGAAGCAACTTGCCCTCTGCCTCGAAAAGGAAAGAGGCTGTTTTTTATAGTTATGGCAAGACGTGAAGCCTTTATTGTGCCTGTTTATCTGGAGCATTAGGATGTTGCTGTGGCACAAAGCCACCATCACTGTGAGGCAGAGGCCTGCGGTCTGGATGTCTTGGTCAATAAAAATGTGTGTTCAAAGCCAGTTCTCTGCAAGATTCTCAAAGAGTTTAACTGAGCTTTGAAGCATAACAGCCTTCTTGTAAAATCCCTTAAAAGAGGCAGTGCAGAAGTAGTTTCTGCTTTGTTTCATAGTAACTTCAGATTCACTATGTCCCTGATTATGTTGAATATTTGAGAGAATCAATATAATTCTTATATTATGCAGGATAGTTTATTTGTTTAATTCTATACTTTCTTCTTTGAAAATGACAAAGAAAGAAAAAAACTTACAATGTTTCAACTGACTATCTATGGGACCATGTAGATGTATCTATGGATTCATGTTGATATTTGTTGGGGGGAAAACAAACATATATCTGCAAATAACATAATAGCTACACAACTTTGTGGAGCTGGAACAAACCAGAGAAGGGTATTTGAATAGACCAGGTGGTTTTGCCGCAGAATGACACATCGTATGACATCGTTTTTCTGTGTTGGTTATGTACAGTGGGTGTTAGAATAGTATTGTCTTTACTCTCAAGTTACTTATCACAGAATGTTCTGCAGAGGAAAACCAGAAAGCCTCATGTAGGAATAAAGAGGTATTTTATGTGCTAAAGTACATTCTGTTACAACAGAATGATTTTCAAGCCTGTGCGCTCCAGCACAACCCACTCGTTATGCTGCTCAAAATTAGTCATTACTGCCGAATGTTTTTGCTGCCTTTCCTGTTATGGGAGGAGTAAATGTGAGATTTGTTCTCATTGCGAGAGGGCCTTCTAAAATGGTACTTAACCATTCCCATCATTATTGATTGTGACTCCCTCATAATTGAATTTCCCAGCATTGCCAGATAATTTCAATAATCTGTCATTTCTCATACCTGGTCAGTTCTGTCACTGTCTCCTGTCTTGCTCTCAGGGACTCTCTGCGGTAAGGGTCTAATTTATTTAGCCATCCACTTCAGAACATTTACAGCTTTTGCCTATAAGAAGGTCAGCATCAGATTTCTGTTTTTTTTTTCTCTATTACATGTGGGAGGAAAATCACTAAGCCATTAGCACTTTATTGACATTAAACACGATCCCTGTGTCTATTCCAGGGACGGAGCCAAATATCAAAGTAGACAGCAACTGAACTGCTCCATCTCTCGCAGCGTTCCAGTGTCCTCTCAGAAATGACCTGCCCTGCCTTTATTTCCCCCAGTCGAGTTCTGCCTCACAGCTGCAGACTGCAACAGACTCCTTTCACTACTTCGATCGGATTTCTTTTATTGTGTCCCACACTGTAATGCCCCAAAACCGTGCTTTTATACAGTATATAAATCATTGTTGTTGTTTTTTCGTTAAAACTTTTGTAACATGACTTGTTACAACAGCGCTGGGTGCAGCATAAATTATTAGAGTTTATTTCTAGCAATTTAGAATGTATTTCCTTTTTCTTTTGATGTGGGTAAGTCCCCCTGACACAGTCCAGAACCTTTAAACCCATCTGATTAAATTATAAAAAAATAACGTGTGTTTATTCATGTTTCTGTCAAATTAATTAAATCTGAGAATTATCTATGTGTAGGTATAAAAATAACCCTTTATGATCATAACCCAGTATGAGAGAGAAGCACCAGAGTGAATTCCTATGGACAGGAAACGTGGTTATTTTCCTCAGTGGATGCTCATGATTATCAGGGTCCATGAAACCAACTGAGACACCCAGTAACTTGATTGTAATTCGATTATTATAATAACACTTTTTCTAACTATCCACCCTCCCTCAGAAATATTAACTTCATATTTTAGGATTGACCTGATGTGTTTCAGGAGAAGCATTTCATTTTCATGTTGGAGATCTTTGAACATCTTACTTCAATTTATGAGAACTGTGTTTACCTCAATCTGTATGGTACTGTATGTAATCCAAACTGGGTCATATGAAATCTCATGTGCGTCCCCAAAAAACAACTGTTATGTAGACATTTGACCTGGTTTTACAGGCAATGTTGTCACTATCTTTCTCTTTTAGTAGAACTTGACAAACAGTCATCCAAATCAATTTCTCCAGCGATGTTCACAGGACACTACTGGTTTCCGCAGACTAAGCTACTGTGTTTTGATGCATCACTCAAGGCGAGGGACAGATCCACTCGTACAAGAAGACAAGGTTTGGTTCAGTCTTTCCGTCCCCCACGCCCTCCCCTTCGCCGTGGCCGGATCTTTCCTGCCAAGCGCGTCATGTCGGGAAATCACTCGTTCTCTTCTCACCAGGGCGACGGCAAGACAGGAGAGTCGGTTTGCATCTGTCTCGGCTAGCACACATCTGGGAAGTAAAGGGCTAGACAAATGAAACATTTCTGCCACCCGAGAAATACAAACTGTGAGGTCACGCGATAAGATTCGTTGTCATACGAGGAAAATTGTGCGAACTGCAGAAAAAATCTACGCATGTGGTATGTGGAAAGTACAGTATGTCTTTTAAAAGAGAGCAATGCTACTGTACGTTCAGTGTTTCCTGCGCTTCGAAGAGCAAAAGAGACCTGATTTATTTTTAGACTCCTTACATGCTTTTCCACGTTGTGTTTCTGTTTGTAACCGTTTTCCAGACATCAAGGGTTAACATTTTTATGCTGAGATGAGGAAATCTCAATGAGGAAATTATAACTTCTGAGTTGCCCAATATACTAAAGATGATGTTTTTGAGACAATTTCATCAGTGTTTTCCAAAAACAACAAAAACGAATGATATTTTCACGTGGCAGAATAAATGTTAAAACACGCCACGTGTAAATGCGTAACGGGTTGTTTGTGCAAGCGTATTCACCCAGCGCAATAAAATTGCTTAATACTATAGCTAACAGGGTAGCTTTACAGAAATAACATTAGCTCAATGTCTCCCTCTGATGGCACCTTAAAATGCAATCAAGACAGTTTGTAGTCCAATGCTGCTGTGTGCTTCATGGAAAAACGTTTGTATGACAGTACTGTAATTCCAAAGCTGGATTTAAAGTTCTAAATATTTTAGAAATTCATGCCCATAATTGCTTGGTCAAGTCACTTCGAGCTGAATTATTATGGGTGAAATCCCTAGCTGTCTGTCTCCATATTTTCATTTTTTTCCCCACGATTAAGTATTTGAAATGCAGACCAACGCTATTTCATTATTGCTTGTAACACAAAAAAGGTGCTATAGTATTTCAAAGTTGTCTCTTCGGCTGTTTGTTCTTAAATATGAGCCAGAAAAACGGTAAATTGCTCCATCTAATGGTACAATTGAAGAGATGCAGGTGTTTTTAATGAACTGACAGTTCACACTGTACGTATGCAGTGTGTACGTATGTACGCTTATATTCCTAAACTGCTTCCTAGAAATACGCATATTTATCTCTGAATCATTTGACCTTATACATTGGGAAGATAATTATGAAAAAGCAATGTCACCAGCAGAAATCACAACAATTCACTGAACAGGTTCACCAGGTACAGTATAAAGGAGTTATTTTTAGGGATGCCAACATGAGGGCCGTTCATAACCGAGTCGATTAAAATGATCATTTAATTACGAATGGCTACATAAATGTAAGCAAATAATTAATTTTTATCTGTTCTGTATCTGGAAAAAATATAGTTGACATTTAGCGACCTGGAGACAGGTTGGGAGGGGGAAGGTGGAACTGACTGATGATAGATTGAATGTTTTTGCGATTTAGCTGCCTGGTGCCCGTTTTACAAAGTCTCTGTGAAACCAGTCCGTTTACTCGATGCAATATGTAAGATGCATGAAATCTAAAAAAAAAAAACACATTCGCATTTCCTTTTGCCAGCTGCTGAAACTACAAGTCCCACATTGCATTGTGGCTCGACGGTCTGCCGAGCTACGAGTCATGCGGCTGGAAGTGAGAATAGTTGTATCCGCCGAGGCAGGAGAAGAAAGTTCAAAGAAAAATGCATGGAGGGGATGGGAGCGAGGGGAGCGCTCCTCGGAACTCCAGGATTTCGCCCGCTAAATCCCTGGAAGTTTCCGACAGCGACGGCACCAAAGACCAGGGCTCCAAGTTATGCGGTTATTTGAACAAGCTTGCCGGCAAGGGGCCGCTCCGGGGGTTCAAGACCCGCTGGTTTGTCTACGACCCCAGAAAATGTTATCTGTATTACTTCAAGACTCCCCAAGACGCTCTGCCGCTGGGACACATTGAGATAGCGGACGCCTGCTTTAGCTATGAGGTTGAAGGGGATGAAGGGCAGTTTGAGATCCACGCCTCGGGGAAGGAGTTTGTGCTCAAGGTATAGTACCCTGCTTCTCGGCTTGGCACTGGCATCTGTCTCCTTATCGGCATTAGCAGGGTTACAGTCGCTGATCCTCCCTTGCATTATGTACAGTAGCTGTACACTACCAGATGGGAAGCTGAGGAGCAGACACTTCTTGAGCGCATTAAGAACTGAATGCGCAATAAGTGATTTAGTCAACTTCATAATGATTGGGGGTATTGCCGTTATTATTATTATTATCCTTAGAAGACCACTTGTGCATTTCTGCATTTTTTTTTAAACCGAGCTAGTAAGTAAAAATAAAATTGCTTAAGAGGTCAGGTACTGTGCCACGCACAACAACGGAAAATATTCCTTTCTATGTGCGTTGAGAATTGGCACAGATTTATACACGTATGTAAATGTCTAAATTACATTATTTTAAACGTGAATTCATTTCGCAACTAAACGCATTAGGTTTGCGCATTAGAAGATCCCGGTGTTGTTAAGAATCAAAACTTGTTCATGTTGTTAATATTAACAACAGAAGTCACTTACTCGCTGCGGAAACGCAGAAACTTCCCGGGTGTTTTTTTATTTTATTTTATTTTTGGTGGCTGTGCTTTCGAGTGTAGCCTGGCAGGCTGTTGGAAGAAAAGGCAGACGTTTGGTTTATGTGGTACAACTCCCTTAAGGGCAGCCTAGTCCACCCCACCCCACCCCAACAGTATAATCCATCCTATGCAATTAGTTATTCTTATTAATACAGTGTTATCTCAGTGTTAATAGCGTAGGGTCTCCGTTAAAAATCTAAATAAAATGTCATTTCCTATTTAAAAAAAACTCCAGTAAAATCAAGCTAATCTCCATTGGAAATATAAGTGCTATACAATTAAACATTTTTTTCTTTGGCTGGTTTACAATCACATTCTGCCAAGAGGCAAAATGTGCGCCCAACAGTAGCATCATTTAAAAACAAACCCGGCCTTCACCTCTAGATTTTTCAATCCCTGTTCTGTAGTCACATGATTTCCCTTTTGCCTTGTTACTGAAGGTTACCTGTTGATTGCAGTGAATCTCGTGATATCTTTGTATAAACCAGTAATGACACTTACAGCACAGTACATTCTGCTTTACAACAGCATATCACACACAGTGGTCCGGATGAGAGACCTGAAAGACTATATGCACAAGGGCTCTTCTAAACTTCGGTTAGCCCAACACAGTGTACCTGCACAGCCTTTTCCCATAAAGCGTTTACAGTAGCCAACATTTTTCTTGTTTTCCCGCAGTAAGCCTGATAAGTAAGCTCATAGCTGGCAATATATGCAGGTTTCAGCATCTGGAGCACAAAGTCTGTCTCCTCTGCAATTAAAATGCATTTAGCCAAATGTCCCTGCTCTTTATTAGGCAGGTGGAAGGAGGAGACATGAATGATGAATTTAAAATAAAAAAAAAACTTAAGTTGTTAATTAAAAACCTGAAGGTGCAGTACATAAAAGCAGATCTTTCTTTAAGACGTCATACAGGCCTCTGGCTGGAGACAGGCCAGTGGAAATGTCCAGGTTAATTGGATAAGCAGCGTTTTGCGAGTCTTGCTAAAACTCCTACGTGCTAATAGTTCCGGATGCTGAAAACTGTTGATTACCATAAAAATATTTTAGCCCCTAGTAAATGTATTTAGTAACTCAGCTAAATGTCACGGTGGATTAAAGTTTTCTTTTCTTCTTATGGATTCAAGTTCTTCCTGACCTGAACTGGTTCTAGTTCAAATAATTAACTTAAACTGCTAGGAGGCATTCAGCATCTTTCTATTGTGTACATTTGCCTGTTGCTGTATTTGCAGAAACTCAGGTTGCAATTAATCCTTGCTAGTAAAGTATTTTTTTATTGGATCCCCCAGATTTTATTTTTTTTGTTTTGTTTTTGTCTTTCTTTGACTTATTCAGACTTCTGCAAAATAAATGTTTACCACAGGTGCCAGGTCCGTTTAAGAATGCATTTTTCATTTATTAATGCTGTAGTGCCAACAGTTCCCAAAAACATTTGCTGTTTGTTTGGGACCAGCATTGTTTCTTGTGTGTTACCTGTGGTAGAAACAGTTGTCTTAATGTTCTAATGAAATTCCAGTACTGTGTACTGAAAGGTAATGTAATAGATTAATGCCTTATCTAATCACTGTGGTATCTGTGGCAGTGTATAGTACATCCGGACAAAACTAGGGGTCCCTGAGGTGATTTCTCAAGTGTACTGCAGTTAGACTGAGTTCACAACACATAATCAGAAATGGAGCTTCACTTTGAAAATGTCTTTGCATAAGTAAGCTACAAAAATAAATCCATCTGCCTATATACAGTATGCGCTTATATATGAGGTCATGTGAAGTGGAAAGTTAACAATACAATGTAACATGCTTGTTTGCAGCATGACTGCCAGTTTCATTCTTCATTCCTGCTTCCAAATCCCCCTCCACTTGTTCATCTTTATATCCAAAAGGGTTAACAAAACAATGCAATTGGATCGATGCTTTTCAGTTCGTGCAGAGTCCAATGTGCACATTTTCCCTGCACACTGAAGCTTGTCACGTTGTCCTCCCATAGTTCACACTAATGCGGACTATGTTGTGGCTGAAATGTGAAGTATCTGTGGGTCTGGTGCTTGTTTTGTTTTGGCAGAGTGGAGAGCTTTATAATGCGACAGAGAGATCAAAAAGATATGAAAGATTAAAACCAGATCAAGTTCATCTTGTTAAAAACAGAGCTTGTTAAAAAGGATGGCCACTAAATATACATTTTGTTGCAAATATTTTGGGATATTAAAAGAGTGCTTTTAATCTTCCTTAGATGTCTTTCATGATTTCTTCAGCAGTCTTTAAAAAAAATTATCAATGTCTTGCGTTGGACTGCAACATTTCCTTTATTGTGTCAGCCTCGAACTGAGCAAGATGCTTTCAGCAGTCTCTTGCACAGCTTAGCAGGAAGATGGCTGAACTGTGGGTGATCCCAGTTAGAAAAGGATATTCATTCCTTGTTGTGGAGTCCAGTAGAGAAAAGCTTCTCGATAAAAGAAGTGGATTCTTTAAAATTTAGGACCTCTGTTCCTATGAGACATATGGTATGAGAAAATAAGGTAAGAACAGAAATGGTGTGGCATTTTAAGTACAACAGGCCTGAATGTGTTTGGCTGTGGTAAATCTATGACTGAAATTTCCAAACAGCCTGAATTTGAAAGAGGAAATTAAGTTGTAGGGCTGAAGAAAACTGAAGTCAGAGAAGTTTCTGCCTTGGCTTGCTAAAAAAAAAGATGTCCTGTTGAGTTGTTAAACAAGTTCTTAATGTGGCGCTTTCTAAGAACTCCTGTATGTTTGCATATGAAATCGTCTCCACATTTTGAATTTACCTAGGCTATAGCTAAATTTTGAAGTGTTCGAAACAAAACAAATAGAGCCCTAGTGACGGAGGACATTTAAAAATTTGAAGCCGTGGTAAACTTTGTTCTCACAGTTTCCATTTAGTAAATTTACTTTGTGCAGTGTGTTGTGCTTCCAAATGTCTAACTTCTAATTTCCCTTATGGAATGGATCTTTTTTTTATCCTCATGCATACTGTATATCGTCAATATTTAAATCATTTATCATTAGTTTATTTGATTTTAAAATGTGAGTGACAGTACTTTAGTACAACTTATGTCACAGTATGTATTAACCTCATATTATGCTCTATCTGACAAGATGCAAACCAAGACTGAGACAATTAAAACTGTCAGTCACAAGCCTTAAAACAGCTGAATTCAGCTTTGCAAATTTCTCCATGTGCTTTTCCTGGTTGAGAAAACATTGACGTTATGGGTGTGATGCCTTTAAAACACAACTGTAACCTCTAGTGATACAGTCGTGTTCTACCTGTTTTCCCAGCACATTGCCCCAACACGTATGAGGTGCATACAGCATTTTCAGATGAGGTGATTGTTTTGTGGTATCTCTGCTGTTTTGTTTTTGCAGGCACCAAACAGGCAGGTGATGAGGTACTGGCTACAGCAGTTGCAACAGAAGAGATGGGAGTTCTGTAACAATCGTGGTTCGGCCAGCAGAGATAGCTGGTCCTCTCCCCCCCTGCCTGACCTGCCCACTGGACTGGTAGCCAGAGATGCAGGTAAGAAGACCAGGTCAATAGAAGGAGCTTCCTGAGAATCCAGCTTTCTCGGAGTTTGACTGTAAAGCTGGACATTACATTTTTAGAGCATTAAGGGCCCAGAATAGTTCATTTCTCTGATTAATTGTAATGTATCTGCAGTGCTTTAAAATCCACATTATTTGTAGTAGATTTATGCTGAGGTAAACCACATGCTATTTTGTGAAGATTCTCTTTTGCAAGGAAAATAAAATACTGCACTTTGTAAGTTTGCAAAGGCATAATATTATGGGCATAATAACCAAGTAAACCTTATTTACTCTTTGGAACTCTGAACAGTAACATAAAGAAAGCACATGACAGACTTCCAGGTGAAGCAGATATGCAAATGTATTATGTTAGGGAGTGGTGTTATGTTGTTAAGCCATTATCACTTGCTGAAGAATTATTTTCTTCCAAATGGAGTGCATCTAGGAGGAGTTTGAATTGATGCACTAATATATTTCTAAAGACTGCTGTTAGTAATTCTGTTAAGTTATTATCACAAAACTCCTAGCTCCGATGTAAGTCTTAGGAGTGATGTCTTAATAAATCATTTATTTTGCTTTCTTCATATTTTTTTAAAAGAGTTAAGTAGTATAAATTATGGTTATTTGTTATATATATGTTAATTTATAACTTGCAGGACTATACTGTATGTGCAAGACCTCCTTTCCCTACAAGCTTACTAAGATTGTACAATGTCAGTACAAATCACATGTGCATGAATTTTTTAGACCTGCTGTTTTACACAGAACAATTCTTCTGCAGAGCACAGAGTGAAGTGCCTATTTTTAGAGTTAATCCTAGGATAATGACAGTTACAGTAGTTGCAGGTGTGCTCAAAGGTGATTCCCAGTACAGAGAAAACAAAATCCCTCTAAGCTGATCAAATGGACCCCACAGCAAGCCTTTCTTCGTTAATGGCTCAACGAAAAGTATAGAATTGGTTCCTAGTTCTATAAATACTGTCCATCTGTCTCGTATATATAAGAATATATACTGTCATATACAGTATAAGAAAGCTTCCAGATGTTTTTCTTTGTGTGGGGGGCTGTTTCTAGTCTTAGTTTCACCTTAAATCTAATCGTTTTCTTGGATTGGGTGACATTTTCCCCCAGCTCTTCTGCTGGCCCTTTAAGCAAGAGACCCCACAAATCTGAGTGACTAGAGAGCAGGTGAAGCATCCCAGCGAACCCTAACAGGATTAGAAGTCAGGAATATAAAGAACAGTTCGAGCAGGGAGCTGTGTTGGCACACGTAGGCTGCAAAGGAATTAGTAAAGGGTCATTCCATGCTGAAAGGTAAAGGAAAGCACGTTTCGGCCATGGAGCCTTCTTCAATTGTGTGTGAAGATAACCTGAACGAGGCTCTACAGTCGAAACGTTGTGCTTCTTTCCTTACCCTTCAGCATGGAATGAACCTTTACCTGTTGTGTAGAAAGGACAGGAAGGGGGAGGTGGTATGAACTACTGTTTCCACAGCTCAGCTTTCCCAGTTGAATGTTATCAGCTCTGCATGCCTCCTGCATGAGGCTGGGTTTACAGAATGGCGCTTGTTCATGGTCACTGCAGGCAGGTGTGAATGTACTCATGCTGGGAGGGGGAGGGTTTGTGGGCACCTGTGGAGGTGGGCGCTAGATGAGCTTTTTTTTTTCTGTCGAGTAACAGCGCTGAACAGCCTGGCTCCTCGAGCCTCTTGCAGGCTTCTACATCTGGTTCAGTACAGAGAGTTTCGTTACAATGTGCTGCTCAGTGAAAACCACAGAAAAGTACAAATTGGCTTTTGTAGAGGCCGAGGCTGCACAAGGTCTTCGGTCTGTCGTCAGCTGGGTGGATAATAAAAGTCCAAAATCTAAATTTATTACTGGAGTCTTTGGTTGTTCTGGGTTTTTCCTGAGGCATTGCAGTGCCTTGCTTGTTGCATTTTCTGCTTTGGAAACTGGACAGCTTCCCAGTCTGTAGTTCAGTTTGTTTAAACAGCTGATGTTGTTTAGTACTGGAAGTGCAGGTTTTTCACACATTTGCTTCTAATATAATCGACTGCCAGACACTTTTTCAGCAAGCAGTGTCTAAGCCTTTACCAGCATCTTTGAAGACAACTAGAGCTACGACTGTTAACACACAATCCTGACATAATCCTGAACAATCCAGTCTGTGTCAGAACATAAACATTGGCCATAAAGGATTATCCACTGTTATCAAAGAGTGAGATTTTCTGCAGATTAGGGATAGGATAAAGCTGTGTAAAAAATTTCTCCGTATGCAAAATAAAGTTAATACTGTGTTAAAGTTGCATAATTAAGCAGATTGATATGCTGAACAAAAGATAAAAGAGTACAGTTGCGTACAAAGGGATTTCTGTTTTTATAATAGACTTCTGCATGTATTTTAAAAAAAGTGATTGCCTTGTTTGTCACCTTCTTGGTGCTTTCAGTTCTGAAAAGTTCACAGGTTGTTCTTCGAACAAAGATCTTTACTTGTAATCAAACACTTTTTTTATAGTCAAGCAGTCTTAAACTATACTTCTGGCTGTGCATTTGAAATGTATGCAAAGTGAGATTGTATACTTTTGAATATTTTATAAAGTCCTGTCATGGCAGTGCAGAAAGCCGTCCTGGAAGTGTAGGTAAAGAGCACGAAAGGACCTTGACAGCATTGAACAGCTGGGCATTCCAGTGTAGCAAGCAGTTCATTTCACTGGCAAAGCTGCACCACAAAGCTGAAATGAAAAGAAACTGAACGTCGGCCCTCCACAGGCTTGGGCCAAGTTAAAACCGTGTCTTTGAGCTATGCAACACCAGGTGATGACATCATTCAGAAAACTCCAGTGGTGATCTGGATGTTTGCCAACACACTTCTGTATTAAATGGTTCCACTAGTAAAAAACTAAAAAAACATGTGCTTGTGGCCAGTGGTTGCCAACATCCACATTCTAATTATTGTAATTTTCCCACACCCTGGTTTAAATCATGAGTGTTGCATCATTCAGTGGATTAGTCAGACTGCAACACAATGACCCAGAAAACCTCTAACCTTGCATTTTGGAATTGCACAAATATAGTATTATTACAGCTTGTTAATGGCATTCTTGAGCAGACATGCTTTAATAAGTATTTAAGTAGATTTTCCCTAATAGAGTTAAAACTTAATTTCCTTACTCAGTTTATTACACATAAAATCAGTTGTTCCTAATTGGCCAATGACAGAACAAATATCTACCACGACAAATTTGCACTAGTGAGCTCCTCTGTTTATTTTAAGCGCAACACAGAAAACCAAATAAAGCACAGGTAAGCTAGGTTTCACACAGTAAGCATTCCTAATTTACAGAGCACAGACAAAGAGGCGCCTGTCCCATTCTGTCAAAAGAAAAAGAGTACAACAGACATTCAGTTGTCAAACAAGTTTATTCACAACCTAAGTACGAAGACTTGAAGACACATAAGATCAAGGCAGATACTCCCAAGACACCAGTACTTGATCTTGAAATACTTCAGGTGAAAAATACAGCTGGGATCTTAAGTCCACAGGCTGCTAACAAGAGCAGGTAAGGACCCTGTGGTCCATTTTAATGTTGGAGGAAACGGGCATAAGCATTATTCGTTCCATCTGATATTAATACATGCAGAGACATGGTAAACATGCTGTAGAGCAGGACCAACTTGTCAGGGGCTTCTACCTTAACCAATCACAGGTGGAGAATTGAGATTAGTAGGAGAATACCTGCAGGGTGTGTTAAAGAATGCTTCAGCTTTCTTGGCCACTGGAAAAATATACAGCAAGGGCCATCTGTAAAGACGTAATGGATAGGGTATACATTAGCACTGGGCAAGCATAAATGGAGATCCTCAAGAGAAAGTTAAGTTGCTAAACTAGAATGGAATGGTGAGGAATCCAAAGATAAACTTTGGACAGGTGCATAGCAACTAGAGGCAGACTACCCTGGCAGACTAAAAGAACAGAACCTTTTTAGTCGTGAACAGGGAAGACTATGATGAGGCCTGATTCAGGTATTCAGTATCCTATAAAGCACGGTCAAGTCAAAGCTGATAGACTTCTTCAAAATCAGCAGTAATAAACCAGAGGACATTGGAATAGAAAAACTTAGGGGACACCTTTAAAATCTGAGTACCCAGGATTCTGTGAAGAAGCAGCTGGATAGATCCTAAGATGTGGGCTATTTAAGTCCACAGTGAGCTCCACTCATTAGTAACCTTTATAATGCTCGAGCAGCAATCAGAATTCTGAAATCAGAGTGTTCAGGGGTCTTGTGCTTTGTTCTGTTTTAGATGCTTTTACTTTTGAGAAGCCGAGTGAAACCACAGAGAGCGTCCGCAGCGAATTTGCCCTGGAAACCTCGTCTGAGGACCTGGCTGGGGTTGGTGTGACGAGGAACCCTACCTTTCCGCCCACCAACATCAATTTCTCCCTCAAGCACTGGGGCACCGAGCTGAGGTGAGGCTGTTGCTATGTGTTCGGATATTACATCACAGTGATTTATTAGAATTAACTAAGCCATGCTGAGTGAGAACTCTTAGTTCATAACTGTGGCTCAGGAGAGTTTTCATTTTGGTCTTAGGCAAAAGAAGGGAGCATTTAGGTTCTTTTTCATGTGTGTTTGGCTTTGCCCAGTACACAATATAATGCTTGCTAGGTCATATCTTAAAGGCTGCAAGCCATGGGCAAGGAGACAGCATAGCACCACTGTCATGCCAAAAAGCAGGTGGATGCTAGCACAGTGGATACAAACTGCAGCACTGCAGGAATCCCGAGAAATTTCTACCTGCATGGCTATTGAATTTTAACTTCCCAGCCAACTTCTGTATTTTTTATAAAACACGCTCAACTTGCACCGTGGCTTTTCTGTATTAAAATGAAAAAATCCTGGTTTAAAACATTGGTGTGTTGTTTTTTAAATGTTAAGTTTCATTTGTTTTCTTAAAATGTATTAAAGGATGTCAGCATTAAAAATGTATCAATGGATGTTGGAGTTATATTTTAAACTATAGTCTTAGAATTCACAGCTGAATACCACTGTCCTTTTGCTCGGTATAAAATCTGCACTTATGTTTTATTTTTCTATACAAAGCTAACTTTTTAGAATAGGTTAGTCAGTATATAGAGATTATTTGAAAACAAGATTCTCACAGGTTTGAGATGTATACAGTTATTTGATAGCCCTTACAGCTTTTTCATTGCACTTGATCAGAGATGGAATGGATTGGTGCATGCATTTCCATGTGGAAAAATCTTTTCTGAGCAGTCCTGGCTCAGAGCCTAGCTATGCTCTTAGAAAACTTTTTATGCACATCTGGAAAAATTTGGCTACATTTTGTAGAAGTGACGCAGAGAGCTGGAATGTTAAGTACAAGAAATTTCCTCTCGTACCAAAGATCTCTGCACGTTGGTTTAAAGATAAAAAAAAATACTGTAACATAGTTCAGAATGCAGAGGAAAAAAGGTTAAAGAGGAGGACTGGTAATGTAACTGTTAACCAGATACTCTACATTTACACTTGTGCAGTTTTTTTTTTTTTAAATGGAGCCCCTCAACTGGAAATGTGACAGAATTTTCTTTTGGAAAAACAGATTACATCATAAGGAAATTTGGTCTATTTCTAAATCATCCTTTTAAGAGTACCAGGCATTATTTCTGTGAAGTCAGAAAAACCCTTTCGGAATTATTGGATATCTCTTTTAGCAAAACTGTGATGTTTTTTTGGTTTTGTTTTGCTAAGTATTTCTTACTACTATAAGTAATGCAGTGGTGTTTCTTTTTTCTGCCACACATCCATTGAGCTAATTCGATTAAGGTGAAGGGACTTCACAGAAAACCAATGAATCATCGAAGGAAATACCACTGAAGACCTCTTGCAGCCTTAGGGCTTTTGTTTTTTCTTCTAGA